GGGGCTAAATTTAAATTTGGTGTATATATAGATATTGAAAAACAAGTTTTTTGAGCTCTGGTGGAAAAACATTTTGGGGTTTTTTGGGAAGGAAGGTGAGAGGCTTTAGAGCAATGAGGACTATAAGGAGAGAAAAGAGTAGCTAACACTTTTGATGTATGTTTGGTGGATGGCTTCAGGGGAGAAAAGGGACCAGGGCAAGAATTATGGACCCTATAGGAAATTGAGATCTGGCATCTTTTTGGTCACTAAGTGCATACCTCTATACCTTACTATACCAGAAACTCTAGCAGAGACAGTAATCCTGTGCGATCATGCTGAGTCAGAGGGTGAGTCAGCCCTGCTCTCTGGGAGGGAGGTGCTCACAAGGGAAAAAGAATGACCTCCTCCTGGGCAGCAGGGCCAATTTAGGAAAATTCCTTGCCCAGTGCCCTAATCAGTATCTTGATGCCTGAGAAAAATTAACTGTTATTCCCAGGGGTGAGCATTTGGCTTGCTCTACTCAATCTTGAGGATCAGGCCTAATTGGAGTTAACATCAGAAAGTTCAAACTTAAGAGGACATTGGGTACTGTCCAGGGAGTAGAATAGAGTAGGCACAGTCCTTGCCCTGCAGCCTTAATTGTAAAGCATTAAGGGTAATAACAGGTCACCACTATATTAGAAGCACAGAAGCTCCTAATAATCTGGTGGCTGGATTAGCAGAAAGTTTTCTGCCCCTCCCCTTAGGGCGTTTTTCATTTTCCTTCAGAAAATTGCTTTTCTTGCACAAGGACTTAATGAATTAAACCACAAAACATGAATAGAAGAACCAATTCCAATGAAAAAGATCACAGTGGAATAAGATGTGGACTCTCAAGACTCCAAAATATTATGAAAAATGATTAGATATCTCTTTTCTGGCAATCAAAAGATTTACCACACTTTCCTAAAATCACTTCAAGTTATTTGTCCTAATGTCCTAGATTTGGATAAAAATCATTCCAGTTTTATCAAAGGGCAATATATTTTACATACCAAGTCACAATGGAGGAAAGGTGCAGAATACATGAGATGACTGACAAATCTGAACCTGTTGAAAATGCACCTTAGGTATAAATGGGAATGGGGAAGGAAAGTGACAGGTAAGAACATTAGAGGAAAACCATAGAGATACAGAGTGAAAGAAGTAAGGAATACATCCCATCTCTATGGAACACAAGGTTTAAAGAGATGGACACACACAGGTGGCTAGTCAGGTGTAGGATAAACAAGGAGAGGTCATAGGTCAGAGTGTGGATACACACAGGAGTTTCTAGGGAATAATCCTAATTTCCCTAAGGGAACGCTACTGCCCAGGGATACACCTCCTCATTCCCTCCAGGTTTGCAAGTACAAAACAAGCCCATCCCATGAAGGGGTGTGGCTATTTGGTTCCTGCTACTGAGCAAACAGTAAATACTCACTTTGTGCTTTATGGGAATTGAAGTTTGGGTTTTGGGAACTACACGGAGGCATATATTCTATCATTTCATTTTATATCTGCAACACTATACCTCAGATAAAAACCTTGTCCGTTCCGGTCTTAAAAAAACAGGCCAAAAAAAAAATTGGCCTTTATTCTTCTTGGCAGGGGAAATTGAAATTAATGAAATTTAGTCATGCTTTACTGCTCCTTTTAGACTTCCAATGTTATCCCAAGATTTCCCAGCAGCAAAGTAGATGCTCCTGTTCTAGAACAATGGGCCAAGGTCACCCTATCTCTAGGAACACAAAGAGTTTAAGATCTCAGTAGGTTCAGTTCCTGTCCTACTTTGATCTTGTGACTTACTACATTCTTATAATACGAAAAATAATTTATATGAATAATGTATAGTACAATGTCTGGCAGGGAAATTACTTGTCCTGCTGAAGATGATGGTAAATCCTGTGAAGTGGAATAGAAGACATTGGGCTCCACTCTTGTACTCAAACTGTGATACTAAATGTTACATGAGGAAGATTACTTCATTTGGACCTGGTACTTACCCATCTATAGCAACCCAAGCTGGAGGATCTATAAGCAACCTAACACAGACTAATTTCCTCCTATAAATAGCCTTAAACCCACAAAGGGCATTTCCGTTATCTGTGGCAAGGTTCTTGAGCTATATTTAGATGGCTTAAGAAATTGAGACAAAGGGAAGGGCTTCAACCCTTTTAAAATTGATTTTAGAGAAAAGGAGAGAGATCAATTTGTTGTTCCACTTATTTATGCGTTCATTGGTTAATTCTTGTATGTGCCCTAAGTGGGAATCTAACAGACAACCTAGGCGTATCAGGACAATGTTCTAACCAACTGAGCTACCTGGCCAAGGCCTCAAGTCTATGGTATATATGGATACAAAAGCAATAGCATTGGGTTATGTGGTAAGTTAACCAGAAAACAGTTATAGATTAACTGGCATATTACAGAAACTTCACTTTATAGTTAACATGGTCTCTTTATTTTTCTCTGGATCTCCCTCTTCTTTACTGCAGTACATATCACAGGGCCTATGGCAGAACTCCTTGTCCCCCAATATCTATCCTTGTATCAGTTTTGATTCTTTAACCCTCCTCTCCCATCAAAAGGTGGGATGTATGTTCCCTCCTCTTGAATATGGGTGGGCTCTGAGATTGGCTTGACCAATAAAGTACAGAGTAAGTGATGCTTACTCTATATAACTTCTGAGGTTAAGTCATAGAAAGCCTTTTAGCTTCTTCCTTGGTCTCTAGTACTGTTCGTGCTCTTAAAGCCCTAAACTACCCTGTAAGTACAACTGTCCTGAAACTGTCATGCTGAATAGGCCACAAGTAGATGCTCTGGAAGATAATCCCATCTGAACCTGTCTTCCCAACATTGCAGCCCAGGAGCCAAACCTGAGTGAAGATGCTATCTGGGGACTGAGTCTTCCAGCCATTGCTGCTCCAGTCCTCAGCTATTAGTCATCCCCAAATATTTCTGTGGTGCTCTTTCTGTATTTTGGACCCATGGAATCATATAAACATAATAAAATGGTGGTTGTTTTACACCACTAAATTTTGGGGTGGTTTGTTACACAGCAGGATAACTAAAACACCTCTTAGAATCTCTGTGTGTCTTAGACGCTGGCTAGTTAGAGGCTTTATTTCCTGTCCTCTCTTACAGGGGAATGTGGCTGTAAGTCTTGCCTATGGGATGTGAGTGGAAATGATGCAATTTCCAAGTTAAGTCAATAAAACATTAAGTGCTTGTTGTACACTTCCTCTCTCTCCCACTTCTTGCTGGCTGAGACGGTGATAACTAGAGAACCTAGGATCCCTAGACATTGCAGTTGGCTGTCACAGATTAGATTACCCAGGTGGCAGACTCAGCAGAGTTTAGAGTTCAGAATGTTTATAAAGGAGTTCCCCAGGGGTCAGCACCTAAAGGGAGGGGAAGAAAGCAGAACTGAGCAGAGGGAGAAGTTGGTCTGCAATGCAGACCCAATGATAGCCTCGGCCAACCCCAGAGAGAGCTCAGGAGCTAAAACAGCCCTTCAGAATTGTCCTCCATTGGGTCTAGATGGCCTTTATACTTCCACATGGATCAGTCATTGGATGTGGATCACCCTGTCACATGTTTTTGTTAGGTTATAATTACAACATACTAGTTATCTATTATTGCACAACAAAATAACCCAAAACTTAGTGGCTAAAACCAACATTTATCATGTTACAGTTTCTGTGTGTAAGGAATTCAGAAATGTATATGGTTGCAGTTAAACTGTTGGCTGAGGCTTCAGTTATCTCAACTCAATTAAGGATCAAAGGATTCAGTACACTCACATGGTTGCTGATAGGGCTCTTCCTTACCACAGGGACCTTTCTTCATAGGTTGCCTAAGTGTTCTCACATGGCAGGTGGTGATCTGAGAGGGAGAATCAGAGAGAGCCCAAGACAGAAGCGACAGTCTTTTTAAAACCTAATCTCAGCAGGGACATCCCTAAATGAAATCAGTAAGGCCAGCCCACACTCAAGGAGAAGGGATTACATTAAGGGTGGCATCCCGGCTGGCAGGGATCATGGTGGGGGGCTTAGCGGCTGCCTACCATGCATAGCATGCACACAATTTTGTATCCTGTTTTTCAGTTTTCACCAACTTACATGTTTTGTTTTGCTACATGGTCTTCATTTAAACAATGTTTTTAAAGTTATGAAAGCAATATATTCTTGTTGTAAACACTTTCAAATGTTCAACTGATACAGGTGTAAAATCCTCTCTTCAATTTTTAAAAAATATATCTTTATTGATTTCAGAGAGAGGAGAGGGAGAGAGAGAGAAACATCAATGAGAGTCATTAATCGGCTGCCTCCTGCACGCCCCCTACTGGGGATCGATCCCGCAACCCGGGGGCATGTGCCCTGACCAGGAATCAAACCTTAATGTCCTGGATCCTAGGCGGATGCTCAACCGCTAAGGCACGCCCAGCCGGGCAAATCCTTTTCTTTATGCTATTCCTCATACTAGTTGAAAAACCCAGAGGTATCCACAATTTAGTCTTTTTAATCTGCTGAGAAACTTCACATACACATAAACATATATAGATATAGATGACAGAGATACATATTATTGTATATTTAATGTTCTTGATATATCATGGAGCTCGTTCCATATCACCATGTAGAGATCTGGGTCATTCTTTTAAACATCTGCATACTTCATTTCATGATTATACTAAAAATATGTTAAGCAGTCCCCTATTGATATTTACATTTTTTATTTATCTGGCAAAAGATGCTAATGTACATTCTTACCCATATGTCTTTGCAAATTCATGCTGGTATATCGTTAGGAAAAATTCCTGGGAAGTAGAATGCACATTTAACATTTTGATGGGAACTGTAGTGTATGAATGTGAGTGTCCCTAGATAATGACTAACACTGAGTATCAGGACATTTAAAAATTTTGTCCGGTTCAGCCATGACCAACTCTGTATTATATACAGACCTGTGTTAGACAGTTATGGCATTACTGTAACTCATGTTTACATACCTTTTATTACACAGTTAGTTTCTTGAAAGCACAAACTTAATTGCATTTCTTTGTAGTCCTAGTACTTAATATCATACTTGACACACAGTAGACACTCTGCAAATGTTTAATAAATGTCAGGATTGAATTTAAGGCTTTGAGAAGTCAGAAGAGCTGGTTCAAACCACAAAACCTGCCCCCAATTAGCCCCTTACTCTCTCTGGCCTCCATTTTCACAATTATAAAATGCATGTGTAATACCAGGGTTTTTTTCTACAGTCCTTTTCAGATCCAAAATTATATGCTTCTACGAAGGAAATTAAAAAGTTGTTTATCTTATGCTCTCTTTACATAACAATTCAAATTAAATATTATGAACTAATCACCAGTCCTAGACTATGCATTTGCCATATTTTTCAAGACCAATGTATTGCCTTTCAGTTTAAGTTATTTAAAAAATATTACGATGTCTAAGGTTTTGAAAATCGGTCATAGGTAAGTCAATCTTTAATATTCAAAATTTTTCAGTGGTTAAAAAACCACAAGAAAACACTTTGCAAAGGGTATTTGGTTCTGAGACCCTTATTCTCTTAAAACCTAGACCTTAAGTCTAGTCACAGTTTTCTCATTAACATTTTTGTCTCTTGGGCTAAATTAAATAAGCCAACTAATTAGAATACTATGCAATTGTTAAGATACTTATGTATATACACAACTTTTTGTTCCAACAGATCTTCATATTTTTCATGTCTACTTATTTCCATAAGTTGAGTCAATCACAAACATAAGGTCTAGCCATGCTAAGATAGTATTAGCCTTATAAAATGTCCTAAAAAAATAGTTCGTCATACTCATGTATAGAATTAATTTCTGCATGAACTGTAATCTTCAAGGCCACACCAGGCCTTTATTAATGGGATTGTAATGACTCTGCGAGTGACATTTTAACAGTGGTCATGAATGACAGTGTTAACATTTAAAAAAACCCTCTTACCACTGCTTTGTTTGCTAAGCTGCTTTAGGTCCTCTCTCCTTGGGAGCTTGAATAGTGGTGGGGTAATTTTTCTGGGCAGCAGTAAGGCTGACGGTTTATATTAGCCAAAGTTTTACGCTGGCAAAAGAATCCACCTATCCACTTTTATGCACATCAATAGATCTACCCTTTCTATCACCAGCATATAGTTTTCCCTCTTCTGACAGCACCATTTCATGTTTTTGCTGTTTTAAGGATTAGAATCCAACAGACTCAGTAAATCTTATTATGACTGGTAAAAATTCCATCAAAATAAGCAGAATTCTGCATAATAAGTTAATTTTCACAACCCTGGTGGATGGTCTGTAGTAGCAGTATTTCATTGATTGGGTTGACCTTGGACAAGCTATTTAATTACTTTGAGCCTTAGTAAAGGAATGCTTTTCTTGAAAAAAATACCACCTGGAGGTTATATTAGTCATAACTTCCCCTGACAATCAATGGAATTGAGTTTACATCAGGAAAGCAGAGGGGAATAAAGATTACAAAACCAAAAGATATGGAGCATGGATTTTGAAAAAAATTTAATATAGCTTTAGATTATCTCCTAGGTTAAGTGTAAAATTTTTACTTTTTGTTTGACAATTAAAAACTATGAAAACTATTAGTTTGTTTTCTATTCCTGGAATAATTTATTTGACTTAATACTATACATGATGCTAATATAATGAATATGAAACATCAATGAGGACCTAGATTATGTATCTCTTGAGACCTCCCTCATTCCAAGGGTGTCTGTGAGTGTAATCTATTATCCAAAGAAAAATGTCATATAGCCACCATGACATTATATAAACAGATTCAAGAGAATATAGGAAAATATGTTACACATTAAGTTCCTCAATACTAACTCTTAGAAGTAACAACCTACGGAGTATGTATTAATGGACAGGGAATTATGTGTAGCAGTTATGAACAATAAATTCTGGAGTCAGAGAGAACTAGACTTGAGTCTGACTTTTTTGCTGTGGCCTCGGGCAAGCTACCTAATACCCCTGGGCTTCAGTTTCTTCATCTGTAAAATGAGATAATACTACCTCATCGGGTCAGAGCAAGGACAAAACAAGATCTCACATTAAAACCGAGTACTTAGCACATAGAAAAAGCTGAGCAGTCATTAGCTGTCATTATATAATCTTCCAAGATACATACAATATATGATTATATATTTTTTCTATGTACCAGCCTGACAGAATGCTTAAATCTTTTTTTAGCAATTTAAAAAAGGGGGTCCTAATGGAGCTCTGCTTATTTCACTCATTTACAAACATAAATGATCTATAAACAAAAATTCTTATTTTAAGGACTTTCTTTGTATTTGTCATGAAGACTATCAACGCTTTTACATGAAAAAGTACCTGTATACATGTTTATTAAACTATTTAATGTTTACATAAATACATAAACATTCTTAGAAGCTCTTTGATGACTGCAATATTGTTTTCAAATAAGCATGACAGAACTTTAAATATTACATCATTCAGATTATTTTTTAAAGAGATAAACCTCTAAGAGATTACTCCAACATAATTGTCCATTAAGTATTTGTAGCAAAACTGGGTTTCTAGTAGATGCTTCAGCATATGGATGGTTCCTCTACTGCCTGGGCACCCTCTGTGACAGCTTTAACACATTTGGCCATTGTTTGTGAGGCTCTGCTAATTGAATCTGAAAAATATTAAGAAAAAGTGCATTTTGAAAAAAAAAAACATAGTAAAACTTTTTCACATGTTCAGGAACAACAACAAAAAAAGGCTATATAAAACTATGCAACTGTGTAAATTTTGTGAGCTCAACCAACAAATTCAGAAGATAAGTCCCTTATTAGCTAAATGCTTTTAATAAGTTTTCTCCTAGGTATGATTAAATAATTATATATGGCCAAACAATGGGCTGGTGTGCAACCATTAGACATATTAAAGTAATACCAACACTGGAAAAATATGTTAATACATACTGTTACTGGAAAAAAAAGGTCACACTAAAATCCATTGAACTGTACACTTTATAGGTAAATTTTATGATATGTGAATTATATTTCAATAGCTATCCAAAAAACCCCCATAGTAACTGAATAATCTGTTTTTGTTAAAAATAAATATATGTATATCCCTGAGTGACTGACCAAAATGTTAAAAATAAATATAACTATTTCTGGGTAGTGGGATTGGTGAGTTTTTCTTGCTATTTTTAGCTTAGGTATATATTCCACAGTGAATACAACTTTTATAACATAACTAAAAATCCTATTAAAAATCTTAGATATAAATTGTACCAAAAAAAAGTAAAAGATACTCCTATGTGCTTTTAGATAGAAAAAAAATTTTAAATCATCTTTCAACTACCTCATAACCTGATGTTATATCAAGTGTTGTAAGATCTACAGTTAACAAGTTTTAGATAGTCTGTATTTCTTAAAAATATTCCTAACACCTTCCATCAGAAGCACCATTTAACATGTTTGACCACTGAAGTGTTTTGATTCTTCTGCTATAATTCTCAGGAAAACCTTCACAGAAAAATTCTCCCTAAACTGCTACACAGTGATTTTACATACAATAGTAAAATTTTATATTTAAAATCTGTTAGCTTTTCCTGCATTTTCAAATTCTGTTTACATTTCAGAAAAAGAAATTAGAGTAAAATCAGAAATATGAATTACACTGGTTCTGATGTTCTAAAAATCTTCAAAGATTAAAAATATCAAATACTACCATTAACATGTTGGAATCATAGTGCTAAATTAGGTAATCTTATTCCTGACCACCTTTCATACTTAGCAGTCATGCTGACAACTACATACCTGTCATATAGAAGTCTTTTATTGTTAGCTGAGGTGGAACAAGGGGATCAGCAAGTAGTTGCTGGTTCACTAGCTGCAAAAAAGGAGTAAGAGATCAATAATAGTATTAAAAACTACTACTGTTACACATTATTACCAAAACTGCATATAGGTAAGTTTTTACCTTGGAGAGCTCACTTGCTTGCTGGAAATAATTAGCTCCTTCAACGTCATCATATCGAACAAGATTCGGAGAGACTTCTTCCAGTCTGCTCCTTACTTGATCCAGAGTATCATATGGAAGAGTTATACCTGCAATCTATAACATATCAGGTCCCAAAAATTGACATAAAGCTTTAATACTTAAAATTTTCAAACAATACAGGGGTGGGCAAATGTAGGTTTACAGTTGTTTATAGGGAAAATACAAAAATTAATAAATAATAATACAAATAGTCTGTTTCGTGTGCTCACAACTCTAAACCCACTTTTGCTCATCCCTATATGTAATTGTGACTATGGTGAAATAATGCAGCACTACTGAAAAACCTACTGGTGTCCATTAGTGTGTATATTAAGCAAGCGGTTAAGTGGGGAACAAAATTGTCAAAAATTCTACTAATTCATAAATAGCTGTCAGTACATTAGTAGTTTATCTTTAGAAAATAGACTGATTATGAAATAAATGATTAAAGAGGTAATGCTATGCTAAATGTAACTGCTTCTGCTAACCTGCCTGTTATTGATCATATACAAAGTTCACAGACAACTGTATATTATTCTAAATCTCGTAATTCTTTTTACAATAAAAAGAGTTAAAAGAACTATCATAAGACAAGTCAAAAATTAAAACACCAATTTCAAATCCCCATTTGTTAAAATACGTTTTTCCTATAGAGATAATTCAAATTGTCTTTGCATTTCAGACTTGCATCTTCCTTGACTTTGAAAATCATTCTAACAAGCTAACATGTTAAGCATCACCAAGAACAAATACCTCTGAGAGGGCTCTTATAATTTTCCAGTCTTCTCTCGCCAAGCCGGGAGGAGTCACTGCTACTTTAGTCTGCTGAGCTCGGCCCTCAGTATTGACATAAGTGGCAGACTTTTCTGTGTAAGCAGCGCCTGGGAGAATAACATCAGCCATAGGAGCTCCAACGTCACCATGATGTCCTGTGAGAAGATGGAAAATGGCAAACCACATTTTAGTAAAAAAACTGATTAGGTACTATTACGTGAACACAGTATACATCCTTTTAAAATCCCATTTTTAAAATTTAAAAAATGCTTTAAAAATTAAAACAATGTAGTACTAAAGTGCTGGAATAAAAATTAAAACCCACCTTGCCCACAATTCAACTCCCTTCCCAAAGAAAATTACTATTAAAGTATTTGATATATATCTTCTCAGATTATTGTTTGCAAGTACACAAATAAGTATATCATACACACATCTATAGTGGGCAACTAGGTATATTATTTCTCTTGATGATTACAAGGTAGAAATGCTCAGATGAACATTAGTGAAATTTGATAAAGTAGACTGAAATGGTGAAAGAAAAGTGTACAACAAGAATAAGACAATAATAATATTGAAAACGGTATATACAGAAAAACTATAGAAAATAGTATACTGAAAGACTCTCACTCATTAAAAGTTTAACAAAATGGGGGAAAAAGAGAAATGAGTTAAATGAAAGAAAGTTATAGAACAATATATAAAGTTTGATCTCACTTGTGTACATGTCTGTATATGCATAGGAAAATATATGAAGCATGCATATCAAACTACTATCAATAAATATCTCTGGATAGGACTAGAAATAGAATTTGAGTTTATGCAGTGTGGTTTAACTTTATTAAACTAAAGATACAAACTACTGCCATGAAAAAGCCTATTATAAATTTATGGTATTTATGTGCAAAATGAAGTGGAAATTATGTAATACTTTTCTCTATAAAATAGCCAGAAAACTCTGGACTCCATTTATTCCAGGAAAACCTGATTTCATTTACAGTGAAGGAGAGTTCAAGAAAATGAGTCAAACATAAAAAGCCCAAGGAGCACTGTTAAATATAATTCATTCAAGTTCTGTAGCACAGGACTCAGGATTTTTAATGTTGTACAATGTTTCTTTGAAAAGCTGAATTTTAATGTTATATAACATTTCATTGTGTAAATAAACCAGAATTTAAGCATTCCTGTTACTGGGAGCATTTAGGTTTCTTTTAATTCTCTGCTATTAAATAACATCAATAATTCTTAATAGCAATATCAACTATGTAACAAAGCCTATAATCTGGTTTTAAAAATATTGGGAAGGTGTGTGTGGGAAACTCCTGGATGGGAAATATTCAATCTAATGAATATATTGCTGTACAACTTTTAATATACATCTGGTGTCACAGATGCTATTACCTTGATAAATAATGAAACAATCCTTTGGCAAATCCTGTCGAGTGATACAACCTCCATCTGCTCCCAGGAGAAACAGCACTTTGGGAGGGTTCTTTCGAATTGCTTCAACTCCAGGTTTATAGCCAAGGTCTAAAGCAGCTACTTGGCTTGCAATCCTGTAAAATTAGGGATTTTTTGCATAAGTGCATTGTTGTCACTATAAAAAATTAAATGTGCCCTGGCCAGTGTGGCTCAGTTGGTAGGAGCATCGTCTCATAGACCAAAAGGTTTTGGGTTCCATTCCCAGTCAGGCAACATACCCAGGTTGAGGGTTCAATCCCCGGCCAGGCCAGGGCAAGCACAGGAGGCAACCAAACAGTATTTCTCTCTCACATCAATGTTTCTCTCTCTTTTTTCCCCTTGCCCCCCTATCTAAAAATCAATGAAAATATCCTTGGATGAAAATTTAAAAAAAAAAAAAAAAAAATTAAATGTCATACCTCATCTCTTTTCTATTCAATGCTGTCAAAAACTTTCCCTCACCTTTTTTCACCCATTTAAAACACATGTCAAAACCAAGAATAGCAGTCTTTTATTTCTCAGAATGGCAAACAAAGAAACAAGATGCCTAGGACACTGTGTTTCTTCATTAGGTAATATTTACTGAAATAATTTTGCAAACTTTCTGCCAAATGCAATTGTTTTAAGTAGATTCTTATTCAATATGGTTAAGCCATAAAATACATAAGCCAAACATGGTCAATTAGAAAAAAATCAGGTGATTTTGAAAACCAAAACAGATAAATTTAAACACCATTTATAAAACTGTAATTCAGAGAAAATGACAATTAACACAATGGTGTATGTCTTTATGGAATTTTTTCTGTGAACATGTGTTGTTTTTTTATATTATTCTTATAAGCAGAAAATAATCTTTTAAAGAAGAGGTCTAGAATCACTATACTTTGAACAACTGGGAGTCTTTGGTCTACTTGCCAATTGTTAACTTTCCTTTTAGAAATAGTAGCCATTCTGAGGACTTACTGTGTATAAATTAACTCCTCTTTTACCTATTTGTTAGGGGAGGAGGGCAGATCAAACCAACTCCCCCTAGATGCTGGTGCTGTCAAACTCTCTCATGGAACAACAACGAAAGAATACTTGTACAAAAATTTAACAAAAGTGCAAGATTTATATAACAAACAGTATAAAACAACTTTGAAAGAAATTAAAGGCATTAATAAATGGAAAGACATCCTATGTTTATGGATTAGAAGACTTAAGATTGTTAAGATGGCAATACTCCCCAAACTAATCTCTAGATTCAATACAATTCCTATTAAAAATCATAGTTGAGCCCTGGCTGGTGTGGCTCAGTTGGTTGGAGCGTTCTCCCGTACACCGAAAGGTTGAGGGTTGATTCCCAGTCAGGGTACATACCCAGGTTACGGGTTTGATCCCCAGTTGAGGTACATACGGGAGGCAACTGATTGATGTTTCTCGTTCACATTGATGTTTTTCTCTTACATTGATGTTTCTCTCTCCCTCTCCCTCCCTCTCTTTCTAAAATCTATGGAAAAACATATCCTTTGGTGAGTATTAAAAAAAAACCATAGCTGAATCCTTTGCAGAAACTGACCAGCTGATGCTAAAATTCATATGGAATGCAGAAGACCCAGAATAGCCAAACCTATCTTAAAAATGAAAAGCTGAAGGACTCATATTTCCCAATTTAAAAACTTAGCTCCCCTTTCCTCTTCCACCACATACACAAATTTTTTTTTTCTTAATTTCCTTCATTTGAAGCCTTGAAGTCTTTCTCTCAAAGATCCAGGCAGAGATTCACACTCACTTATGAAAGAGCCCACCTCATCTTGGAAAACAACCTGGAAGCCTACGTTTGCCTCTGGGAGAATGATCAGTAATCAATAAAACTATAGGGCTGATTAAAAGATTCTCCAAGAATCAGAAAATATGCTCTACTCTGAAATATACTTACTCTAAGAAATAAAAGTTTTAAAATATGTTTCAAGTTCTCAATAAACATTAAAAGCTATGTCCTAATAAACTACAGTAAACTTTCATTAAAAGGGATATATCTTGTGGTAAGAATAAAATGAAATAAAAAACAAGGTTAATAAATTAAAAATTACAACAGTGTCAGTACTCTCCAGAATGAAAACTCATAAAATGATAGAAGATAATTTAAAGAATTTTCTCTAAACACATAGAAAAAGGAAGTGAGAAAAATTATGAAAGAAAAGAGCCAAAAGTCTGAAGGGCCAACTAACATATAACAAATAGAAGCTTCTGTATGAGAGCAAATAACAATGTAAAAGTAAACCAACTAGGGGTTTCTAAACTTAAAAGGAAAAAATGTTTTCAACTTGGAAAATGTGAATATCTATGATATTCCCAGGCAAAGGTAATGACAAATGAGTGTCACCCAGTTATATTCTGGGAGAATATTTTTAACATCAGAAATAAGAAACCCAAAGGGTGGGCAGGGAGACAGACACATACAGGCATAAAATCAGGTTATCCTTGAGACAAAACTCAGACTAGATGAGATCTTCTCTAAAATATCAAGTGAAAGAATGGGTGGGAAATACTAGTATTAAAGGAAAAGTGATTGTGATCTTCATACCTAGCCAAGTGGTCATTTGTGAGAAGGAACCAGAAAAACATTGGTTGACATTCAGGAATTTTTTAAAAAGTTATTAATTTAGTACTCATTCAGAAAAAAGAAACAACTATAAGAATAAAGACATGGACACAAAAGTGAGTTAAAATCAAGAAGTAAAAACTGTGGCTAAAAAGCATCTAGAGGTAGTAGTCAATAAAAATAAACTCTATGTAAAAATATAAAGTTTTAAAAAATATTTATATGATCTATAATGCCAAATTAAAGCAATAAAAGGGGAAATATTAACATTGAAATGAATACTTAAGGATACATTTAAATACTTAAGTTTTAAAAATTTGCCTATTCTACCTAAAGTTATTTAGCCACAATCCTTAAAAAAATTTGAAGAATTTGAAATATACTACTTAAGGTAGAACGGATTACGTGACATGGGAAAACTCATTCACTAATATACAAAATGGTGTAATCTTTCTAAAACAAGTTGGAAATATGCATTAATAACCTCAAAAATGTTTATCCTGTTTTCCCCAATAGTTCTACTTTTAGAAATCTACCTTAAGGAAATAATCTAAAGTTCAGTGATATGTGTTTATCACTGCATGACTTATAAATAAAGACTAGCATCAATTTACAAGTCAGGAAGAAAATGGCTGAGATATATTCATGATGTTAAATAGCCATTTAAGTTTATATTTATAAAGAATTTCTAATCACAGGAAGAAATTTTTATGTGGTAATAAAAACTGATCAAAATCGGGACACAAAATTGTATACACAGTATGATTTCAACTATATAACTAAAAAATATTTACATGGGAAATGAAAGACCAGATAAAAGTGTACCAAAATAGCAATAGTAATTATCTACAAATAGTGGAATAAGGATAATTTCTATTTCATACACTTTCTTCTCTTTGGAACTTTCTTAAAGTAAACTTGATTAATACAGTCACCAAAAAACTTTACTTCAGATGTATTTTCATGTTAGCTTACATTTTCATCATTTAATCAAAGACTTATTGCAGTTTTTGAAACAAGTTATACTGATACAGATTTTCAAGATTTTCTCAGCACTTACTATTTGGGATATTTTTAATATTATTTATTATCTTGGGTTTTTCTCACACAGAAAGTAAAGGTTTCTATTTCACACCAGCTACTGAGATAACGTTAAATATTGTTTGTAAATCTAAATGTGACAATGTAATGCACATATACACAAAATTACCTGAATTTTATATTATGTAAAACAATACTCAACATACCTATGAAGAATGTTCATAACTTTCCAATCACCAGCAGCACCACTGCTCATCCGAATCTTTTGAGCAATGCTGGAAACAGCTGCAAGAATTGCTGCACCATCATTTCTTTGAAGTGCAGAACTGCCTAAAACCACCATAGGTTTTTTAGCTCCCTTTAGTACCTATTAAAAAAAAAAGAACTTTGATTAAAAAAAACATGAAAAACAACCCTAACCAAATTTGCACCTACAATATGTTGTGCCCAAGTTTTAGTCAGTCAACATACAGACATACATACAGCCACATTTAATCAAAACATTTTGCCAATGCGACATGAAATGGTAAAATAAGCACTACCAGATAAAACAGATTTTCTAAAAGTAAGCACTGGGAATCAAATCCCAACCAAATAGCTTTTGGTCAGAACGATTATGGGTAGGTCCCAAAAAAATTGGGGAATGCTCCCTATAGAGATTCAGATGGCACTATGTAACAGGAGAAACCATGCTAAGATAGCACGTCTACTGTCCTCTATCTACTCGGCACGTCTCAGACAGGGAGGAGGTGGTAGGGAAAGCAGCAGTCACTAGATCCCAGTGCAGTCTGCTTTCAAACACAGTAGCTTCCTGAAGGCCAAAGACTAAGGTGGGAGTGAGTCCCAAGAGCAGAAGCAGCTACAGATTTGGGGGAGGATGAAAAGTTAGAAGGAAAGCTGAGACTACACAGCTCGCTCGCCGCCCACCCTCTATCATTCTTCAGTGAACAGCTAGCCCCAGTCAAAGAGTCAGCACAAGCATTATGCCCAGATGCCACAAGGAGGACATTCACTGCAAGAGGAATTTCCAAGGAAATGTGAAGAGTTGCAGAAAGTTTTCAACAGCCTCAAACAGAATGAAAAACACACTCTTTTCTCACTTGAAAAGAGTTGAAATAAGTGACATAATAGAGTGTTATACAATAGAAGATTTTCATAGTAGAACTCAGGAAAGAACTGGAAGAGAAATTAGATACTTTACCATTCCAGAAACAATAATAAATAAATAAAACATGACTGTAAATACAGGAATAAGACTGACAGGCTATAGAAAATTATATAAAACAAACTGCAAAAGAACAAAGGAAAAAATTACAGAAAAGATAGAAAAGGGGATCCAATATCTACATCGTTAAGAGTTCTTGATGAAGAGAATAGAATTATGTGATAAAAAATACATTTAAATCTTTTACAGAAGCAAACTTTCCTGAAGAACACTAATCACCTTCTGGGGCATGAGGATGAGAAATAGAGATAAAAGAGGGATAGAATATTCAATAAATATATTTTAATATTTTTGATCACTGTAATCATGATAATGTTTTTCCTCTCCAAACACATATGGCTTGGCTACTTTGTCCTTTGCACTTGACTTTCTTCTTGTCTATACCTGAAGCTATAAATGAAGCAGTCATTTTGGAACCATGAGTAGAAGCTCATACAAACACATGAGCAAACGCAGTGAGGATAACAAAGCAGAAAGCAGGCTCCTTCCTTCCTGGGAAACCTGCATCATCTGTCAAACTGTCTACCTCCAGAACCACTGTTATGTGAGAAGCAAAAACCCCTTACATTTTTTTAATAATCAAACACACACACACACACACACACACCCGTCTCTTATACACATCTA